CCGCGACAGTTGGCTGCAGTCGAGGCGAGTTTCCCCTTCCGGGTCGTCTGTGGCGTTCTCCCACGGGCTCTCTGAACGCATGCCTGGGGTGCAGTGCCCAGGTCAGTGTCGGGGTCACGGCAGACCCGGCCAGCAGTGCGGGGCGTCCACGGGCCGCCTCCTCCCCACGCACAGATGCCCAGATCCAGGCCTCACAGTTACCGTGGAACCCGCCAGACACGCGACCATCGCCCAGGCCTCGGGGTCCTCCTCGGGGTCCACTGTGGTGTGGACGTGATGACGGGGACCCAGCTCCGCGCAGCGCTGGCCCTGGGCGTGCCATCCTCGCGGCCCCGGCCCACCCTTCGGGCCCCTCACCCTTGATGCCTGTGGCACTTCTGCCCTCTCCAGAGAGTCTGGCCGGGCTCGGGCTCGGGCAGGCTGTGGCCTTTGCCGCTCCCTTAATTAGTAACGCCCCTCTGTCTCCTCCAGCCCTGGCGGCTCCAGGCTCCTTTCACGATCAGCCAAGGGACACCTCGGTGACGGGAGGGACCACCCCTCACGTGCACAGACAGCCCCTCTCAGCTGCCCAGGCTGCCCAGGCACCTCAGAGCCGCTGGGCGCAAACTCTGCAGGTGTGTGGACGCGCCTTCCTCTCGGTTGGGCCCACAGCAAGGGCTCCACTGCTGGGTCACCTGCTGAGAGGCCCCTGGTGTCGGCCAGGCGTGGGGTGTGCCGATGCCCCGAGGTTCAGGGGTGCCCAGCTTCTCAGGACGGCTCTCCCTCACCGCAGCACCTGATGCCTGTCGACCTCAGTAGGTGTGCTCGGCTCTGGAGCCAAGGTCAGGCAGGCGGTCGGGCAGACCCTTGCTGGTCAGGCCTGCTCCTCAGATGGTGGTGTGGCCACAACCTCCCAAGGCGGCCAGCCAGGGTGCGGACCCCCAGGGGGCCTCTGTCTAAGGTCGCTGGGTCCGGGCTGCAGCTGGGCGGCTGGGGGCGCGAGCTGTACCTCTCTCGGGTGCGGTGTGCCTTCGGGCCTTCGCTGGTCTCTGCGCTGGGTCATTTGCTTTCCTGTGCTGGGTTTTAAGGGCTCTGTGTGTGTGTTCGTGTGTGTGTGTGTGTGTGTGTGTGTGTGTGAGTGTGAGCAGAGCCCTTCCCTCCCCATCCTCCCCTGCAATGCTTCCTCATCCGTTCTGAGCAGCATCTTTCACAGGGCAGCGATGCTTAGACGGACCCAAGTCCAGCTCATCCAGCACCTCCCTCGGGATCCGGGCCTCGGGTTGCATCTAAGCCCCGTGGCCGCCCCCAGGGCCATGTGGTGTCCTGCCTCCTCTCCTGCCTCCGAGGTCCCAGTCACGTCGCGGACATTTGGAGTGAGGGTCTGCGTCCAGATTTCCCGTTCACAGGTGGATGTCCAGTTGCTCCGGCACCAGGTGGTGAGACCGTCCTCTCTGCCTTGCGCTCCTTTGCCAAAGCTCAGTGGGCTCTGCTCATGGGACCACCGACGCCTTCTAAAACCCGAGTTGGGTCTGCGGCTAAGACCAAACGTGCAACCTCGTCTTTAAAACAAAGCACTTCCGGCGTCTCACCTCACGCCCAGCAGCCTCGTGGCCGCGTCCCTCCCGTGTATCCTGCTTACTCTTGAATAGGCTCTTTGGCTGCTCCTGTCTTCGTCTGCTCGGCCGCTGAGATAAACTGTCACACTGGGTGTCTTGGGCCACGGGGTGCCAGATGGGTCGGGCCTTCCTCCGGCTTGTCCACGGCCATCCTTGCTGAGTCCTCAGGTGCTGGACAGAGAGGGGCAGCTCCCCCTCCCCGTGTTGGACCAGAGTCCACCCTGTGACGTTGAACTCAACCTCCCGAAGACCGTCCGCACTCAGGGTCATCCTGGGAGTCCTGCTCCAAGGCGTTGATGGGGGGGGCAGGGTCCTCCTGCCTGCGGCGCTTCTCTTTGCACCCTACACATCTCGAGGGGCCGCCCGTGTGGCTCTGCTGGGAGAAAGCGGGTGGACAGCTCCTCAGGCACTCAGTCCTCCTCTCCATACTTCTGACCCTGGCCCCTGGGAGGTCAGAAGTATGGAGGTCTCCCCAGCACACCCAAGGTCCAACCTGAGGGAGCAAGTCTGTGTCTGGGCTGCTGGTCATCACTGGCATGGCCTTGATGGTGATTGCAGGAAGAGACTCCCTCGGCTTCTGCATCAGTGACCACAAAGGTTCTGGATCAGTCTCCAGATTTCTGCAGCACCTGGACATCTTCTCGGGAGCTTTTAAAAGCCCCAGTGCGCCAGCCATGGGCCCACATGTTTGGACAAAGAGCTGGGACTGCCACACACAGCCCGGGCACCGTTAGCCATTAGTATCTCTGCAGTGTGGCGTGTTCTCTGCTTCCCCCCGCACCCCCATCCTGTCACCAGGCCCATTAGGTGATCCTGGGGATTGAACTCAAGGGCACTTCACCATGGAGCCACATCCCCAGCCTGTTATTTTTTATTTTGAGACAGGGTCTTGCTACATTGCCCAAACTGACCTTGGACTTGAGATCTTCCTCTGTCAGCCTCCGGAGTCCCCGCAGACCCAACTCGGGTTTTAGAAGGCGTCGGTGGTCCCATGAGCAGAGCCCACTGAGCTTTGGCAAAGGAGCGCAGGTCTCACCACCTGGTGCCGGAGCAACTGGACATCCACCTGTGAACGGGAAATCTGGACGCAGACCCTCACTCCAAATGTCCGCGACGTGACTGGGACCTCGGAGGCAGGAGAGGAGGCAGGACACCACATGGCCCTGGGGGCGGCCACGGGGCTTAGATGCAACCCGAGGCCCGGATCCCGAGGGAGGTGCTGGATGAGCTGGACTTGGGTCCGTCTAAGCATCGCTGCCCTGTGAAAGATGCTGCTCAGAACGGATGAGGAAGCATTGCAGGGGAGGATGGGGAGGGAAGGGCTCTGCTCACACTCACACACACACACACACACACACACACACACGAACACACACACAGAGCCCTTAAAACCCAGCACAGGAAAGCAAATGACCCAGCGCAGAGACCAGCGAAGGCCCGAAGGCACACCGCACCCGAGAGAGGTACAGCTCGCGCCCCCAGCCGCCCAGCTGCAGCCCGGACCCAGCGACCTTAGACAGAGGCCCCCTGGGGGTCCGCACCCTGGCTGGCCGCCTTGGGAGGTTGTGGCCACACCACCATCTGAGGAGCAGGCCTGACCAGCAAGGGTCTGCCCGACCGCCTGCCTGACCTTGGCTCCAGAGCCGAGCACACCTACTGAGGTCGACAGGCATCAGGTGCTGCGGTGAGGGAGAGCCGTCCTGAGAAGCTGGGCACCCCTGAACCTCGGGGCATCGGCACACCCCACGCCTGGCCGACACCAGGGGCCTCTCAGCAGGTGACCCAGCAGTGGAGCCCTTGCTGTGGGCCCAACCGAGAGGAAGGCGCGTCCACACACCTGCAGAGTTTGCGCCCAGCGGCTCTGAGGTGCCTGGGCAGCCTGGGCAGCTGAGAGGGGCTGTCTGTGCACGTGAGGGGTGGTCCCTCCCGTCACCGAGGTGTCCCTTGGCTGATCGTGAAAGGAGCCTGGAGCCGCCAGGGCTGGAGGAGACAGAGGGGCGTTACTAATTAAGGGAGCGGCAAAGGCCACAGCCTGCCCGAGCCCGAGCCCGGCCAGACTCTCTGGAGAGGGCAGAAGTGCCACAGGCATCAAGGGTGAGGGGCCCGAAGGGTGGGCCGGGGCCGCGAGGATGGCACGCCCAGGGCCAGCGCTGCGCGGAGTTGGGTCCCCGTCATCACGTCCACACCACAGTGGACCCCGAGGAGGACCCCGAGGCCTGGGCGATGGTCGCGTGTCTGGCGGGTTCCACGGTAACTGTGAGGCCTGGATCTGGGCATCTGTGCGTGGGGAGGAGGCGGCCCGTGGACGCCCCGCACTGCTGGCCGGGTCTGCCGTGACCCCGACACTGACCTGGGCACTGCACCCCAGGCATGCGTTCAGAGAGCCCGTGGGAGAACGCCACAGACGACCCGGAAGGGGAAACTCGCCTCGACTGCAGCCAACTGTCGCGGGGCCTTTCCCAGATCCACAAGGAACTGGAATCGGCGGCTTCCAAACGCCACCCACCCGAGGCCGTGGGCCCAGGACTGGGCGTCCCCCGCAGGCACGGAGCCACAGGCCCCGCCGACGCCAGGCCAGTCCGGGGAGCGCGGGGCTGGCTGTGGGCAGGTGGGGCAGCAGCGCCGGCCGGGCCCTGCGGGGGGCGCCGGGCTGCACGTGGCTGGCCTGGGCCAGGGCGACTCAGCACTTTCCCTGCTCGGGGGCTGCTGGGAGATATGCAGATGAGCCCCGGCCTTTATAGGCCCCGGCCGGCCTGCTCCTCCTTTCCCTGGCTGGCTGCAGGGGAGGCACCTTGGTGAGGGCACCCCGGGGAGGGAGGGTGGGTCCCAAAGCCAGGGTGGGAGCGGAGCGGGGCGGGGCTGGGTGCTGAGGGCCACCGGGGCCATCGGTCCTCGGGGCAACCATCCCGGAGGGTCCGGGCCTCTGCCTCCCCTGGGCTCCCTCCCATTTTGTAGGCCAGGCCGATGGGGCTGAGGGGGGCCCCGAAGGGACCCCTGAGGGGACGGGGTGGCCAAGGGACCCCAGTCCCGTGTTGGGCAGGCCGAGCGGAGGTGGTCTGGGGGCCTGCCTGAACCCCGACACCCCCTAGGCCTGCGGGCCCCAGCTTTCTGCCCCAGGGTTGCCTGACCCCACCTGCCTTGCCTTCCCAGCTCCAGACACCACACAGGGTTCAGCTGCAGAAGCTTCTAGAAGTTCTGACCCCAGTCTCTGCAACTGCCAGCTGAATTGGGACCCGGATCTTCCACCCACGCCACACCCCCAACTCCTCCTCTCGCTCTGCCTCCCTCCCCCCAGCCCCTCCTGCCTGCCCCAGCACCTCCCTGGCCCCCAGCCTGTGGGCCTGCTCCCCCGAGAGCCCAGGGAGGGCCCCTGCTGCCCACCTGCAGAAGGCGGGCGGTGTGGCCATGTGCCCCCCGGTCAGCGTGCGCCAAGGGAGGGAGGGCATGTCCTGCCTCTACGCATCCTGGCTGTACCAGATACAGCACGGAGACGAGCTGAGCGTCTGCTTTGCCTGCTTCAAGGTCGCCTTCCTGGACCTCAAAGACATGCTGGAGTCGGAAGACTGGGAAGATGAGGACTGGGACCCCGAGACCGCGGAGCTCCTGGAGGCAGGGCCTGAGCAGGAGGGGTTCCCGGGGCAGCCTGGGCAGGGGGGCGCCGAGCCCTGGGGGCCTGGGGCCCTGGCGTCAGCACCAGCGGGGTCAGAAGAGGTGGGCCTGGACCCCCTGTTTGTGCCCACTGAGCTGGGGCCCCAGAACGCGGTGCCCCTGGGCCTGGGCCCCGAGGACGCCGACTGGACCCAGGCCCTGCCCTGGAGGTTCGAGGGGCTGCCCCCATGCTCACACTGGCCACGCCCCCCTTCTCCGTGGCAGAACTTCCTGGGTGCAGACCTGCCCCCCGGGGAGCCCATGGTGCTGGAGCTGGGTACCAGCCGGCCCGTGGAGCCCGTGGAGCCCGAGGCGGCCGAGGCCTGGCTCCTGGGCCTGCAGGTTGTGTCCATGGTGGGCTGCCAGGATGCTGTCTACCTTCGGAGGATGGTTCCGGGCTGGGCCCTGCAGACCCCGGGCCAGCGCTGGAAACTGCTGCTGGAGCCCGGGGAGGTGTGGGTGGTGCGGCTCCAGCACCCGTCCCAGCAGCAGGACCTGCACCGCTGGGAGCTGAGCGTCCTGGAGGGGGCGGGGCCAGGCGCGGAGCTGGTGCCCGCAGACTGTGCCCTGCAGAAGAGGGGCTTCACCATCGTCTCCTGCTCACCCTGCAGCCAGAGGGAGGCGGAGGAGGGGGCCTCGGCCGCGAAGCCACGGTCCTGCCCCCAAGGACAGGACGCCAGCCCTGCCGAGCCCTGGAGCGGCGTGCCCGAGAGGCCCGGGGAGAGCCTGGCTGTGGTGGGAGCCTCTGTCCTGGGGGAGCTGCCCTGCTTCCAGCCCTTCAGGCCTGGGCCCCAGAACTGAGGGGCTGGGGCCCTTGTCCTGGCTGCTCACCTGGGGGGCCGGGCCGCGGGGGCCCCAAGGGAAGGTCAGGGACGTTCACGGACTCATCGCAGCAGTTACCTGCCTGTCAGTTGACTGTCACCATCACCTGCCTTCGGAACGCCGCGCTGACCATCGTCGTTCCCGGGAGAAAGGTCAACTGCCCCTGATGCGGGAGCAGGTCCCAGAACCGTGCCTGGCTGTGAGGAGGGACGCCAGGGGTGAGACCCCCAGAGACGCGGGCGACCAGGACATGTCTTGGATCGCGTGGGAGGGGTCCTGGACGTCCTGCGGGGCCCTGACTGCAGCACTGGGGTCTAGTCTGCCGTGGGAGGAGATCGGGTGGTGAATGCTGGGCACCGGGGCCTTTGGCGTGCCGATTCCTGTTCCTCTGCGTGTTGTTTGGTTTCAATAAAGTCACAGAGCTCTGCTTTGCGCCCTGCGTGGTCTCCCCTCGGCAGTCCTTACGGGCCCAAGGAGTCCCCAGTGTCCGAGCCAGGCCCCACCCCGCCCAGGGCCAGGAGGGGACACAGCTCAGGGCGCTGGCTCAGCCTCACGAGGGCAGTTCGTGCCACAGGGGTTCAGCCATGCTGTGAGTCAAGCCCACGTGCAGATGGCCACCTAAACCAGGAGGCCCTGAGTTTGACGTGAGCGTGTCTCACAACTACGTGCCCCAGAAGGTACACCAACCTTGGGGCAGACCAGGTGTGAAGGGTGTAGGGGTGAGATGGGCACACGCTTCCGCCCTGGGGGCTCTGCGCAGGTGAGGTGGCAGCCCGGGGGTCAGGAGCCTGGTGCGGGGGACTTTGGGGGTGTGGCTGCCTCCTCCTGCAGGGGACGGTCTGGAGCGTCCCAGCTCCTCTGCTGGCTGTCCCAGGCTGGATGGTCAGCGGGGCATGACCCCAGGGCTTCCTGCCGGGTCAGTCAAGGCAGCAGTGGGGCCTGGCGTCCAGCGTCCAGGGCCGCCTCTCATGCCCCTTCCGGCAGCGTCTGGGTCTTGGATCGGGAAGGTTTCTGATGCCAGTGCTGGAGAAGAGGCCGCCACTCCCTCTGAGGCGCCCCGCCACCCTAGGAGCTCTCGGTGACTGGGAGCCCGTGGGCCACCTGCACCTGGTCCTGCTCCCAGGCAGCCTCAGCAGGGTCTCGGAGCCTCTGCTCGAGTGGTGCTGCGGCAGCTCTCGGATCAGGAGGGGCAGCCCTGCCCCTGAGCCGCCCCCAGCTCTTCTTAAACACCACGTCACAAGTTAGGGTGAGGGAGATCAAATCCAACGCATTTCCCAAAGTGACAGGACTGCCCTGTGACCAGCAATCCCACTCCTAAGCCTAGACCCTAAAGAGCTGGAGACACTACGGGCGAGCTCACAGCAGCACCGTCCGTGCTGACCGGCCCGAGGGGGAAGCCGCTCTCTGCCGTCCAGGAATGGGTGGCCAGCGTGGCGGCCCTGGCCTCAGAAGAGTACTCAGCCACAGGAGGAAGGGAGAAGGGCCCGGGCCACACAGACCCACCTCCACGGCACGCTGCCGCAAGGAGCCCATCACCAGAGAAGGAGTACCTGAGCCGTTGGGGTGCAAGACTCAGAATGGGCAAATCCAGAGCAGGGGGCGGCTCCCGGGGGCTGGACAGGGCTTGGGCCTCCCTCCTGGGTGAAGGAAGCAATCAGAAGCCAGGTAGCCAGCTCGGTGGCACGCCTGTGGATTCACTAAGTGCCACTGCACTTCACTTCAAATGGTTGTTACTTGAAATTCACCTGAATTTTAAACAATCAGCTGCAAAGGTTCTAGCGCAGGGGCCCAGAGCAGGCACACCTGGCTCCCTTCACAGAGCGCTGCGCTGAGACCCCGCTGGAGGGCCTCCCCTCCAGGGCAAAGCAGCCACTGCCACCCGGCCACACCCCAGCGCAGGGCCACCTGCTCTCCACTCTGAAGCTGCCACAGAGGATCAAGCTCCTTTGCATCTCGGTCTGGGCAGGCCGCTCAGGGGGAGGCTCTAAATAGCACTAGAACCCCTGCAGCTTGTCACAGGTCCACCGGGAGCCCCGTGTCTCATCAGGGGGGCTGCTGCTCGCCCCGTGAAGGCAGACCTGGAGTGGGCCTGTAAGGGACCAGGTCCCGGGTCTGGACAAGTGAGGGACAGACAGGGCGGGGGGGGGGTGCTGGGGCGGGGCGAAGAAGCATGAGAGATGCCGAGGGTGTGCAGAGTCCATCCCCAGGCCCATTCCAGAAAGATCTACAGAGAGCTCCTGGCCCTGGGAAAGGCGGAGGTGGGCACTGCAGGCCACGGGACTCTGTGTGCTCTCACCCACCGTGGCTCCTTCAGTTGCAGCAGTAGCTCCTGCCTGTCGGGCAGGTTCCTGTGTCCTATGGTCCAGTTGTCTCCGGGAGCCTGGAGGTTGGTCCTGGACACCTCTTTCTTGCTCGAGTGGATCAGAGCCGGTGATCAGCATCAGCCTTGGCTCCCATGTTGCCAGCCACAGTCTGGCCTGATGCTCCTGCTGGCCACAGAGGCCAGCCCTGGCTGTCCTGCTCCAGGAGGACTGCTGAGCTGCAGCCTCCTTCCCAGGGCCTGGGGGATCCTCTGTGGTTGAGCTTTCAGTTCTGCGATGGCACTTGGACTCTGAGACACAGACCCAGGGCACATGGTCACCCTTAGATTCCAGGTCTGACACTTCAAAGGAGGCCAGCCCAGGAGGACTGGGGTCCACACTCAGACCATCTCCCTGGGGCATGGTCACAGCTCAGCTGACCAAGCAGGTGTGAAAGGGTCACTTTTCCACACATCTTTGAACTACGTATCCCAGGTCAGAGTCAGGTGCAGTGACACGTCTGTAATCCCAGCAACTCGGGAGGCTGAAGCAGGAGGATTTCCTAGTACAAGGCCAGCCTCAGCAACTTGAGATGTGAAGTTGTGTGATCCTGAACTGAGGCCTTTTTCTAAGGTCATTCAGCCTTCACGTGACCCGGGTGACTAGGGAGGCTTCAGTGTTGGACTCCTGGCACCTCCCTCCCAGGTTGGAGGCTCCCCGAGGTCCATCTTGAGAGAAGTCTGTAGTCCTGGGTAGTTGTGTCCCCTGCATCTCAGAAGTCCAGAGCTCAGACCTCCTGGGTCGGGAGCACACCGAATCCGTCTGCTCCCGCCAGCTTCAGCGCCTGGCTCCGCTGGGGCCGCCCCGGTGTCTGAGACTGTCCTCTGCTTGATTTCCCCTCCCCATCTGGAAAGCTGTTTGATTGATGTCATTGTCTGTCCAGCTGCCTCTCAGACCTGGGGGCTTTGGGGAACAGGATTGGGGAAGTTCTACAACCTGGACCCAGAGACGGGAACATTCGCCACAGCACCAAGAGCAGCATCTCCTGGAGGAGCAGAGTGGACTTGGCTCTGGCCAGCACGTCCTCCCCACCTCCTTCCCTCAGGCTGTGGGAGGGCCCCCAGGCGGCCGACACCAGTAGGCTGGCCATTTCTGCACAAGGTGGTCCCTGCTCTGCGGTCTGTCGTGGGCAGTGCAGCCGAGCTGTCCCCTCAGTCTTGCTCTCACTGGTCATCTTTCCCAATGTCCACCACAGACCATTCTGTGCACCTGCCCCCGTGCCCAGCAGCTGGGTGGACTCCAGTCTCTGAGCACCAGCAGAGGCAGGTCCTGGACAAGGTGTCCTCTGTGACAAAGCCGAAGGCTGGATGGGCCCCTCCAAAGCCGCCCAGGAACCAGCCTCTACCTGCAGCTCTCTTTAAGGATCCAGTAGCCCAGGTGGAAAGAGTCCTTGGAGACAGCTTATCTTCCCAAACGTGAGGAGTCCGTTAGGCTCAGAGCAGAGCTTCCGGAGCCGCGTTTGTGGAAACGGGCCTCACGGTGATGACTTAGGATTGAGTGGGACACAAGCGGATCAGGTGTGCCAGGTGACTTGTGCAGAGCACAGTGGGTGTGGGGGGTCCTACGGGTACAGTCCAAGCCAACGTTCCCCAGCCAGCCTCTCGGGCACCACTGGCCATGTCTGGGCACACGCAGGTCCAGGCCAAGGTCATCTCATAGGCAAGGCTTCCCAGCTGACCCTCTGCACCAGCACCTTCAGGCCTGAGCTCCTTTGTCCCTCCCTGTCCCTCCCTGTCCCTCCCTTCCCTGCCCTGGCTCTCAGGGCAGCCCACATCCCCCACGGCCATAGGGTCTGTTCAGCATCCACCCTGAATGGATGTCCATCCTTCCTGTGGGATACAAATTGACAGACATGGCCCTGTGGCTGATGGCTCTGTGGGATGTCATGAACAAGGGACAAGGGACCACGGCCACACCAGAAGCACAGGGCATGGCCAGTTGCCTTGGGCCAGTGTTGTCCTGGACCACATGTGTCCAGTCCATGACTCTTTGGGCTCCTGTCAGGCTTGGATGACTAAGTGCTGGCCCTGGGCAGGCCGGGCCCCTGGAGGCTTCTGTGTGTGACCTGAGACTCTCCAGGATAGCAAGCTGAACAGGGAGGTCAGGGAGGGACAGGTCTCTGTGGTGGGTACAGCAGGGCTTCCTGCTGTGCGGGAGACGGACCCTCCTGCACCAAGAGCCCGGGGGGCAGTGGGATCCGGGGGTCTCAGGTTCCCTGTGGCTGGCCCAGACCAGAAGCCCTCTGCTCCCTGCTGACTGAGGGCAGAGTCTAGCTGGGGCCTTGAGGAGTTGTAGGGGGGCATGGATTTCCAGGGTGCTTGGGAGGTCAGATGGCTCCGTGCAGAGGCAGGGGTGGCACAGAGGAGGCAGGGGTGGCACACAGGAGGAGGTGAGAGGTGGGCAGGGAAGCCACTCCGGCCAGGCTAAGTTGGGTGGGGCCTGGGGCTGAGGGTCTGAGCAGAAGGGAGCTCCTGGGTCACCTTCCTGCTCTGAGGCGCAGGGACTGCAGGCCTCTAGGGTGTCAGGAGGGATGGGTCAGCACCTCCCCAAGGTCCTTCCCCTGGACATTGGGATTCCCTTCTCCTGCTCACACCAACCGGGCCATTAGCATGGGCCACG